GAGGTGGGTGTTGGTCTCTTCTCCCAAGTAACTGGCGATAGGACGAGAGCGAATGGCCTCAAGTTGCGCCAGGGGAGGTTCAGATTGGACGTGAGGAAAAATGTCTTTACTGGAAGAGTGGTGAAACATTGGAACAGGCTGCCCAGGGAAGTGGTTGAGTCACCATCCCTGGAGGTATTTAAAAGACGTGTAGATGAGGCGCTTAGGGACATGGTTTAGTGGGCTTGGTGGTGTTGGGTTGACGGTTGGACTCGATGATCTTAGAGGTCTTTTCCAACCTTAATGATTCTATGATTCTATATGGGTTAGTTCTGCAGCTGTAGAGAAACAAATGGACAATAAATTCTGAGGGATGTGTCTATCCATCAAGGTACCTCCTCCTTCACACTCATCTCCTCTTCCTTTTCATCTCTTTTTTTGTATCTCATTGCCCTTGCTCTTTTCAATTGTTCTCTTTCTCCTTGCCTTTTTTCTTTTTTTTCCTTTTTTTCTCCCCCCCGCCCCAGTTCTGCTTATACAACATGCTCCATCTCCACTCTTGCCCCCTCCGGTCATTACCCACCCCTAGGCCTTGTTGTCTGAATCACGTTCACCAGACCTTACCGTAAACCCCTTTCCTGCAGGGGCCAGCCTTTAGGAGGACACACAGATATGTCTGTCATATTATTGACGATATTTCTCTCTATCCCTGTTTCTATTCAACACAACCACTGAGATACAGCTACTTTGATGCTGATGGTAGCCAGCGAGTATCTATGGCTTATATACGGCCTCATCCAGATGGTGTAGGACCAGACACAGCTGCAGTGGGAATGGGTGTTCGTGCACATCTATGGCTTGGTGCACACACCCCACATACACGGGAGTGCAAAGCCAAGCGACGGAACCGCCATGGGGAACGCCCGCAGCAACCCAAACGGTGCCAGACTTCTCCAGAAAAAACCCCACGTGGCTTAGGGCTTACAGGAAAGATGTCTCATCGCCCGCGTATTCTCAGCTGCTCTCAGAGGGAGCTGTGCACCAGCCTGCAGCTGTTTGATGATACGGACCAGCCAAGGGGACGAGGCTTAAGCGGTGTTCAAAACTAAAGCTCATGGCAATTCTGGTGCCACTGCGTCCCGAGAAAAAGCCATCAGTGGCACTAATCTTTACAGCCTTGTTCACTCAGACGGAGTCTACCCATCCCTGTGCAGCCGGAGATCGATATGACAGATCACTGCCTTCGGGGTCTCCCTACAGTCCACACAGCACACAAACTTTTCTTGCTTCTTGCCTGCTCCTTACATGGATCCCTGGATGTCCTTTCCCTTCTGCTGGAGGATTCTACTTCTAATCCCCCAAGAAGCCCTTCTCCCTGCATTGGCTAGCATTTATTTTGATAAGTATAGCACAGCTAAAGGCCTGCTCTTGACCTCATTAGCACCAGTAACCGTGCACCAGCTGACTCTCCCTGTGGAGCAGGATTAGACCTGACGATAGTGCTCTGTAAGGAGAACAAGCACCCCAGCTCCAAGCCTCTCTGGAAGTCCTACTCAGGAGAGTCGAGTGCACCATTTCTCTCCAAGCTACTAAATCTCTTTGGCCTCATGACGCCAGACACTCCTGCCTTAGCAAGCTCACGCAGCTCCTGCCTGGGCTATACAAACGGTCTCTACTCAGGGGTGATGGCACTGCTGCTCTCACAGCTGTGCTTTTCCACCTTCAACGTGCCACACAAAGCAAAACGACCAGGGCACTGCGTGTTGTAACTCAGAAAGGAAATAATAGCCAGTCACTGCGACAGAAATATCCTTCTTAATCCTGCAGCAGTTCGGCTTCCCCGCTGGCCACAAATCCACCCACTCTCTCACCCAATGGCAGATGCCCACGCGGTCTCCCCCCCACTTCCAGCAGAAATCAGTAGGAGCAGGCCAAAAACCTGCTTTCGTTTCTTGAGACACCATTTGAGCAGAGGTTTCATTATTTTTTTCCACCCTCCTCCAGCTCCTGTTGCAACGCATTAACATTAACATGCAAATCACTGATGGCACCAGGGAGTGAGGGCTGGATTGACCCGCTGCATGACCTTGGGGAAATTGCTTATTTTCCCTGTGCCTTGGCTCCCCTCCCATTTCATCTTCATATCAGGACAGGGATGGTCTCGCAAATAATTATGTGCACAGTGTATATACGACAATGTATTTGCTGGAGTATATGACAAATCATGCATGAAAATTAGTAACAAATTACAATTTTTCATTCCATTTAGGCTGCTGGGGATTGAGAGAGACAAATTGCCATCAAAACTAAATACTGGTAAATACCAATATACAAAATGGTATTCATGATAATAATTACTACCATTGAAGATGGCGTAGCTGAGCTAGCCTTCAAACCTCATGTGGGCCACAGATCTAAGGCAAAACCAAACGTAGTCTTCTTTCCATATTTAACAGGAAAAATGCACTACATCCTATCCTAACCTGTCTCTCCCCCTCCAAAGAACATGCAAAACTCTCAAGGAGCAGTCAAAGACTTTTCCCTTTAGACAAAACAATTGATCCTTTCTAAACTAATTTAATTTTTGTTGCTTTTGTTTCCCGGTATCAAGCCAATTTCATTATTCCACCAAAAATCTTTAGAAATTAAAGAAAATGCTTTCAAAGCTTAAATCTGAAGGGCAAAAAAAAAGTAATGGGGAAAACCCATTCTTAGGAAACACTAAGAGTGCAAAGAATGATTGACTTGCAGTCATTAGTGCTAAGACCAACTGACTTTCTGTGGAGTGGTCACCTTCAACACTAGTTGCAATGAATACACAGAATTATTTTTCCCTTGGTCTCAAACCGGTCTAAAACTCTGTGAAGTAATTGGCACTTCTTTAGTCCCTCTTACTGCCTTCAACCTCTGTCCTCACTTGAGCTTTAAAATGTATTTTCCATAAACACTTGCAAAGCTGCAAGCAGAGAAGCTGCATGAACGGTTAGAAGACGCAGACACGAGCCTTGGGCTTGAGCTGAAGCACACTGAAGTCAGTGGAAATTTCCACTGAAGTCAATTGATTGACAATCAGAGTCTTCTGCTAATTTGGGGAAGGACCATTTCAAAGTTCAGAGGGGGATGCTGGGATTCAAGTTCATCTCTGGAGAATCCAGCAGTAACTTTCACTACATTAACTAAGAATTAACAATCAAAACACAGATTCAGAGCTCATGTCCTAATCTTTCCCAGCCATTAGCTTGAATTTTAGGCTGCACTGTGTCATCAAAGCACTTGGATCCATCTTCAGAAGACATTGCCGTGTCTCATCCTTCCTAGATCCCTAGTTGTTTCTGACAGACGTGTCACTGACTCATTTCCAGCTTCAAATCCATAGCATCAAAAAGAGCAAAAAATAAAGTTGCTTCACTTCTCCTTCGAAGTGGGCTCTGCATAACATGGAGAAGTGCCTGGAGCACAGAGATGGCTACAGACACAAGAGGTGCCTGCTTGGGAGCCAGCCAGTGGCCTTTCAGCAAACAGTGGCTTCCCTCAAACCACCTGCGTGCCGTTTTCCTCGCCTGGTCCCCAGGAGACGTATCCACGCCTGGAGGTGAGCTCTGCTCATGGTGGGAGCATGATGGGTGCTCTCCAAGCCT